TCATGTTGTGACCCAACCATAAAATTATTTTCGTTGCTACTTCATAACTGTAATGTTGCTACTGTTATGAATCGTAATGTAAATATCTGATATGCAGGATGGTCTTAGGCTACCCCTGTGAAAGGGTCGTTCGACTGCCAAAGGGGTCGTGACCCACAGGTTGAGAACCGCTGCCTTAGAAGGAAGGGAAAAGTAAGGAATTCTGGAAACTTCTCATTGAATGCACTCACTCATGTTATACAAAAAGGAAAAATTGACATTGGAACTCATGGAGGAAAACTGAACCAGTCACCTACCAACGCAACAAAATATTTCACTTTTCCAGTGCGTGGGGGAGATGGGGATGGGACAGAGGGGGATGAAGGAAAGAGAGAACAATGGCTCTGAGCTGCCACTATTCATGTGCACGTCTGTCTCTGCCATGATTGTTGAAGTCTGCACTATTCACAGTGCCTCAGCAGATATAATTACTTGAATGAATGAATGAATTTGAGGGAATGAGTGAATTTGAGTGAATGAGCAAATGAATGACTGAACATGGCAAAATCTGACATTGAGTGCAGTGATGCTGCTCCCAGGTGTTACGTTACTTGCCTTTATCTTAGACTAGTGACCTGGTGCATGGATTCATGTACATTGAAAGGAAATTAATTAGAAGGTGGCTGGTGGGGCGGGACTGGGTGACACGGGGCCAGACACACCCTGGTGCCAACCTCCCGCGGCCCCTCCCCAGCCAGTGGGGTGCAGCTGTAGCTCAAAGGGCTCTGCAGAGTGACCTGGGTCCCTCCAGCAGTTGGGTCCCTCCACCTGTCCTGCAGGGGGTAGGCCGAAACCGGCTCTCTGACATCCCCCAAGGGGTCCCAGAGTGTGAGAGGGCACTCTGAAAAGTTGCTGTCGTACAGGGTGTGGAACACAAATGCAAGTGTGCAGTAAACCAGATTCGGGGCCAACAGTGCCCAGCAACAACATAACCCATGGCCAGAGGTGGAATTGCACAGCCCTGCAAGGAATTGGGCTCCCTCCTCTCTGGTTTCAGGCCGCTGCCAAGTCACTGCAGCTCAGCAGCTCCTGTGTTGAGCGTCTGCCCCCAGAGGTCAGTGTGCATCATAGCGACCAGTTGGACAGACACTTAGCATATTAGCCTTTTATATATATAGATGGCTTCTCAGGAGCTATCCTGGACTCCAGCAGTTATCTCTAGGGACACTCCAGTTGTTCCTCCTGCAAGTGTCGTCTTATAGAACAACATGGTGTCAGCCAACTTCTGCAGTTTTTCATAACCTCCTAATGAAGTCAGTACTTGTGCACCTGGTCTTATGCTAGCTCCCAAATTTCTTCAACCCAGCTCCGCCTGATTGCACTTGTTGATTTCCTAAGTCAATAATCCCTCCATTCTCTCTTACTAATAGCGTGGATTAAGTCATATCATGGTGTAAACTTCTTTAGAAGTTCTCTGCACAAACACACACAATGTTTGCATTTCAAAGTCAACTTTTAAAAAACACCATAAGCATTATTACAAAGAAATCATTACAGACCCAGAGAACTGCTAACACTTGGCATCCCCCATGGGAGCTGCCTGCTAATCACCCTTAAATCCTGCTCATCATGTAATTCCCATGCTGTAAACCCAACTGCTTATGTCTGAACTTTGCTGCCCCGGGACGAAAGGAATCTACAGCTGGTCCCACGTTCCAGGTCTACCTCCATGTATTCCCCTTTACTCCCAACATGCATTGTCTACCTCATAACCAAGCAATGACCCTTCTCACATCTGTCACTTTGTTCAAGTCCTTGAAATGTCCTCCGCTTTCCCTTCCACTCTCTCTTCCAGCCAACTGCAATTAGGACATTGGATGGGCAAGTGTTGTTTCCCAGTACCCCTCCTCTAGGAAGACATTCCTGACTCCTCCAGTCTTTTTGGCTCTCTAAGTTTCCCATGTCCTACCTACAAGCTCAGCCCCATTGAGGACTTCATGGTCCACAGTCTTATATCTCCAGTGAGCCGGGGCATCCCTCCTGGCAGGACTCATGTCTCTTTCTTCTCGGTATCTCCAGAGTGCCTAGCACTTTGCCTTTTTGTGTAGTGCTGTTACTTTAAAACTCGGAGTCAAAGGAACTCAATCCATTTGCCTAGGGACTTGCAGTCCACTTAGTTGTTCCCCAGTTGGTTTCTGCTGGGCACTGGGAGAATCGCTAGTATAATGAAGTTCTAGGTGTAGGTTGGCGGGCCCCAATTTCAGGCCGCATTTTCATGATTTTTCTTGAAGATCTGTTTTTATCTATTTTTAAATGGGGATTAGAGCACTTGGGAAGGTCCTGAGAACTCGTATTTCTGATAAATTAATATATGCATATTATAATATGCATAACTATATCTGTTGTTTAGACAAGGGAGAATTTCTATGAAGTAAAGATTATGATGAGAGGAAGGAGTGGAGGAAGCTCTGCTCAAAATGCAGGAGCCCCTCTCTTTCCAAGGAGACATTCCATAGATTACATTATAGAGAGAAATGTGGGTAACAGATAAGAATTGCTACACAATACCCAGGTGCAAAGCATGCCACATTCTGTATGTATCTAAAATCAAATTAAACTTGGCTTCAAGTTCCTACTCCCCAAGGTTGGGGAAGAGCTTAATATCAGGATTACAGGGTCTCCCTGTCCCTGTCCCCAACTGCTGCACAGGAAATCTTTGCAAATTGCCGTTTCCTCATCTCAAATGGTCACAGGACACAGTGGCACCTGCTACAGTTAATGCTGCAGACATGTGGCTCCGTTTTCTTTCCATGGCTTCTCCTTCTAAGGGGCCCTCTGAGATTTCATGAGCCCAGGCTTTCATGAGCCCAGGAAAGTGGGGGTACCCTGATGGGTACCATGGTGGGTGCCATGGTTACCACTGCTTCTTCCTCTAACCCATGTGATAGCCTCTCCTGCCAGTCAGGGAAGGCCCTGGGAGGACAATGGAGAGGCTTTTTGGTGCTGTGCTCCTCTCTCCACTGGCCACAGGTTATCCATGGAAACCCTCACCCAGGCTGTCAAGCAGGAGTGTGTAGTGTCCAGTCTTCCATCTGAGTTCCTGCAGGGGTGGGGGTACACAGACCCCTGCCACCCTGGAAACCTGCACCCACTACCCCTACACACACACACACACACACACACACACACACACACACAGGGATTTCTCCATCTCAGGGAAGCACCATAGGGCTGGGTCACACTTCTCTTCTTTAATTGCAGCAACTGTCTTCCGCATCCTGAGTAATTCGTAATAAATATAGTTTCCGAACAAAGATCTGAGTGGAGGGGCTTTGTCCTGAATGGAGGGGCCTAGAAACTTCTCTGTTTAAGACTCTGAAGCACAAAGGGCCATTTGTTTTTCCCTGAGGAAGGGAAGCCTAGAACTTAAAACTCAAGGCCAAGAAGCAAATTACCTTATCATTCCTCTTTGCTGATAAGAGCTCAGCAATAAAAGGATGAGATACCAGTTAACTTCTCCATCACATTCTGTCTCATGGGTGAACACTGAGCCTGTAGTGTAAGGGGTTGTTAGTGTGTGTGATGGAGGTGGGGGCAGGGGGACTAAACGCATTAACAGAGGACCCCTGATGAAATCTCAGAGGGCCCCTTAGAAGGAGAAGCCATGGAAAGAAAACGGAGCCACATGTCTGCAGCATTAACTGTAGCAGGTGCCACTGTGTCCTGTGAGCATTTGAGATGAGGAAATGGCAATTTGCAAAGATTTCCTGTGCAGCAGTTGGACTATGGCTGGTGTGAGGAACAGGATTGCTAGAACAGAGGCCCAGGAACAAGAGGGCCTGGACTGCCTCCCCTCACAGAGCCCTGTAAAGATTGTTAAAACTCTGTTCTAAGACCCAGCCTTATATTAAAGCTCAGTCAAACAGCAGGGAAACAAAAATCATTTATACAACTGAATGTTGATAGAGGGAAGCCAGAGAGAGAGAAACCCGGACACAATAGGTCCTCCCATCCTTCCCTCCCCTTCCCCCAGCCCTCATCCTGCACCCTCCTTCCCCTGCCCACTCAATCCTCCTCTTCCCGGACAGCCAGTCAGTGGGTGATACACCCTGTTAAGAGCCAGGTAACAGGACTAATATTGCTCCAGGCAAATACGGAGAATGCTTAAAAGGAATTCTCACTTAGATAGAGTTGGGCTTTTTTTTTTTCTTTTAATATTTTTATTAATTTCACAGAGGAAGAGTGTGGGAGAGAGAGAGAAACATCAATGATGAGAGAGAATCATTAATTGGCTGCCCCCTGCACACCCTCTACTAGGGATCAAGACTACAACCCAGGCAGGTGTCCTTGACCAGAATTGAACCCAGGATCCTTCAGTCTGCAGGCCAGTGTTCCATCCACTAAGCCAAACTGGCTTGGGCTAGAGTTGGGCTTTTAAAGATGATTATCACTGCCAGGCTTCCTTACTCAGTATTAGGAGCAACCTGAAAATTATCTCTAAAAGTGTGTTCTATAGAAACCTCTAGAATGAGGGAATTGAGAAAGGATTTGAGGTTTCCTTCATTAATCATTCAGAGTGGCTTTTTTAAAGTTCACTTGGGAACTTATGAGAATTATGACTGTACTACTGTTCATTGTAGAAAATAATTAGATCCTACCAAATTGCCCTTGAAAAAATTATATATGTTATAATATATATGCAACACTACTATTTATGTGAGATCTTTTCCCCATACACTTGACACCTACGGATAGTCTCGGTCTTTCCCATGTTCCTGTCTGATAGGCAGATGGCCCTCAGTGTATTGTTCTCTGTTTCCCTGATGCTGCCGATGTTGAATATCTGTTATATGATATTTTGTCATTTCTATTTTTTTCATACAAAGTAGTTGTTCATATTCTTTGCCCCTTTAAAAAACAATGTGTTCTTTGTTCAGTTAGTACTGATATCCATCTTACCCAAACTTAAATCAGTCTTAAAACAGTTTTATTTGAATTGGCTCAGGGTTCTCCTGAGAACCAGAACTAATAGATACATATACAAATGTAGGCAGGGAGGGAGAGAGGGGGATTGATAATTGATTATGAGGAATTGGCTCACACTTTTGTGGAGGCTGAGACGTCCAGTGTTCCACCACCGGCAAGCTATAGACCCAAGAAAGCCATTGTAGTCCTGAGAACCAGGCGAGACCGTGGTGTAAGTGTGTAAACCTCAGCCTGTGGGTGCGAGAATAGGATGACTTCGCTCAAGCAGTCAGGCAGAGAGAGGCCAGATTCCCCCTGCCTCTGCCTTTTTGTTCTATTCAGGCCCTCAACCAATTGTAAGAGGCCCACCCACACTGGGGAGGGCCATCTGCTTTTACTCAGTCCACCCATTCAGATGCTCATCTCATGCGGAAACACCCTCACAGACACACTCTGAAATAATATTTAGCCAAATATCTGGGCACCCTGTGATCCAGTCAAATCGACACATAACATTAACCAGTACATGTAAATTTGTTATAAAATGAAGTTTTATAATACTACAACCAATAGAAAACCAGCATTACTTGATCAAACTAGAAAGTTCCTGTAATAATAAATACAAAGGCAAAAAAAAGGATGTTACTCATTACTAATTAGATAGCGTGGACTACAGAAGATTCTCATCCTGAGCCAAGCTCTCTAGAAAAGTGTGAAATCTCAAGTGTCGGAGAGATGAATATTAAAGACACACACCAGGTGACTCAGTGTCATTTGAATGCCCCTCCATAAACCATCTAAGGTCCTTGGAACCCATATTACTGAGCATTCCAATTTTCTGGAAACATAGAGGAGATCCTTATTTTTTTTATCTGAAGAGGTATTTACAATTTATTAAATAGAAAAAGTTGTAAAGTAATGTGTGTTTTTAATCCAACTTTTGTATAAAAACCAAAATCAAAAGTATCCTTTTGTTTGGTGTACAATGGAGAAGTGGGTGAACATCTTAAATATAACCAGAGGAAATTGCCATTATTGTAAGTCAAAAATTATCTAAAGTTGGGATTTCAATATAGTCCCACCTAATAATCACCAAGGATGCTAACATTGATTATGGGAAGCATAGAAAGTTTTTTAATATATTGCTTTAAGTTATAAGCATGCATTGCTTTTGAATTTTTCACAATTCCAATAACAACATTTTAAAAGAAATTTTTTTAAAAAGAGAGCACTTAGCCTGAGCTGCCAAAAGCTATGAATAAGCTGCAAGTCTTTGGTTATATGTCAATTATCTATAATAATAAAAGCACAATATGCTAATTAGACTGGACAACTTTCCAGACAAAGCTGGGGCTGTGAGGGAAGCCCGGGTCCCAGGTACCAGAGGGAAGCCGGTGCCGGCAGCCGGGTGAAGGAATGCCTACTCTTGCACAAATTTCATGCATCGGGCCTCTAGTATCTTCATAAAGCTGGTGGGGAAAGCTGCAAGACCTAGGTTAGATCACACCATTTCTTTAACCCACCTAACTATAGACATTTTGGGCCAGATAATTCTTTGTTATGGGGCATTGTCCTGTGTATTGTAGGATGCTTAGCAGCATGCCTGGCCTCTATTTATTGATGACTGCAGTATCCCCACCCCCTATCCAAATAACAGCCAAAAATGTCTGCAGAAGTTGTCAAATGTTCCCTGGGGGCAGGATCAACCCTGGTTAAGAACCACTGCTCTGCCCTCAAGTTCTCATCTATGACAGGAGATCTTCAACCAAGTGCTCTTGCGCTCCCTGGAAGCACCAACATCAGCATCGACTGCATCAGCATCGACTCTATAAATGTGTTTTCCAGAAGCTGTTTTCCTCCAGAGCCACTAGAGGGGACACTGCCACACAAAGGACAGAGCAGAGCACTCAGGGAACTTTGTTTTCCTCTCCTCTCAGACTCGGTTGTCTTTGTTTCCGGTGGCCTGGCCTTTAATAAATAGCCTTTGATGTTAAGAGTGGTAACTTTTAACCACAAGGCATGAGGAGCTATCTGTCTTTGTGCTTTGTGCCATAAAAATCTGCGTTTTTAGATCTGGTGAAAGGGAGCAAAATGTTATTTGCTTTTTAAACACTCTTCATCAGGCAGTCAGATGAGTCATAGTTCTAAAAAGTTAGGCCTTATAAATACAGGAAAAGTCTTCGATGCCCCCAAATCCTTCACTGCTGCTGAAACTGCATCCCTGGGACTTAAGGGTTTGATCCTCCTCAAAACAGACAGACCACTTGGTGGAGTGTTATTTTATGCTCTTGTGAGTTGTTTAAATATTGTAATACTGAAAGTGATGAAAGTGAAAGATCTCCAACACTGTTTTTGAAACTTGTTTTAAAGCCCTGAACCACAGTAAGAAATGTTTCATAGAGAGACCCAGCTTACGCACACATTACAAAACTGAAACAGAAGTCTTACGTATAATGAATGCACTTGGACACTTTATGATCTGTTTTATTTTGTCACTTGAATCAATGCTTGTTCTGACTCAGTAAGCAATGGGTCCTAATCTATAGTTTTATTTAAATATTTTTTTTTCATTACAGTTGACTACAATACTATATTAGTGTCAGGTGTACACTCCAGTGATTAGACATTATAAAACTTACTAAGTGATCATCCTGAATAATCTCACAGCTATCAGAGACCATATATAGTTATTAGAATACTAGAGGTCCGATACATGAAATTTGTGCAAGAGTAGGCCTTCCTTCCCCTGGCTGCCGGCACCAGCTTCCCTCTGCCATCTGGCACCGGGGACCTGGGTGGCTTCCCTCCGACCACCAGCAGGTACCCAGGATCCAAGCTTCACTTCAGCCTCAGCTTCGTCCAGAAGGATGCCTGGAATGATGTCCAGAATGACCTCTGGTCTTATTAGCATATTACCCTTTTATTATTATAGATTATTGACTACATAACTTAAGCTATACTTTACAACCCCATGATTATTCTGTAACTACTAATTTGTACTTCTAAATACCTTCACCTTTTTCATCCATCCCCCGCAACTCCCCTCCCATCTGGCAACCATCAAAATGTTCTCTGTTTCTATGAGTCTGTTTCTGTTCTGTTTATTCACTTATTTTAATTTTTTGATTCAGTTGTTGATAGATATGTATTTATTGCCATATTATTATTCATATTTTTTATCTTTTTCCATTTTTTTAAAGAAGACCTTTAACATTTCATGTAATACTGGTTTGATGGTGATGAACTACTTCAGCTTTTTCTTCTCTGGGAAACTCTTTATCTGACCTTTGATTTTATATGACAGCTTTGCTGGGTAGAGTAATCTTGGTTGTATTTCATCAATTTGAATATTTCTTGCCATTCTCTTCCGGCCTGCAAAGTTTCTTTTGAGAAATCAGCTGACAGTCTTATGGGAGCTCCCTTGTAGGTAACTAACTGCTTTTAAGATTTTCTCTTTGTCTTTAAACTTTTGCATTTTAATTATGATGTGTCTTGGTATGGACCTCTTTGGGTTCATCGTGTTCAACTCTGCAGTTCCTGGATTTATATGTCTATTTCTTTCACCAGGTAAGGGAAGTTTTCTGTAATTATTTTTTCACTTAGGTTTCCATTTCCTTGCTCTATCTCTTCTCCTTTTGGCACCCCCATGATGCAAATGTTGGTACACTTGAAGTTGTCCCAGAGTCTCCTTACACTAACTTCATATTTGGGGATTTAAATTTTTTTTCTTTGCTGCTGTTCTGATTGGGTATTTTTTGCTTCTTCATATTCCAAATTACTGATTAGATTCTTGGCATCCTGTACTCTACTGTTGATTCCCTGTAAATCATTCTTTATTTCAGTTAGTTAATGTTCATTTCTGACTGGGTTTTTCAGTAGTGCCTATGTCCTTTTTCATGCTGTTGAAGTTCTCACTGAGTACCTTGAAGTTATCACTAAGTTCTTTGAGCATCCTTAAAACCATTGTTTTGAACTTTGAATCTGGTAGTTTGCTTACCTCCATTTAATTTAGTTCTTTTTCTGTATATTTCTTCTGTTCTTTTGTTTGGGACATGTTTCTTTTTCTCTGCATTTTAGCTGCTTCCCTGTGTTTGTGTTTATGTATTAAGTAGAGCTGCTATCGTTCCTGGAATTAGTAGAGTGGTCTTGTGTAGTAAGTGTCCTATAGGGCCCAGTGACTCAGCCTCCCTCATCACCTGAGCTGATAGCTCCAGGTGCACCCCTGTGTGGGCGGTGTGTTCTATCCTGTTGTAGATGAGCCTTGATTGCTGTTGGCATCACTGGGAAGAATTAACCCTCAGGCCAGTCAGCTGTGAGGACCAGATATGACTATAGGGGAAGAGCTGCTGTGTAGGAGTTGACCCTATGGAGCAGGACTTGCTTCAACGGGGCTTTGGTGCTCACCAAGTTTGGCCCTTGAATGTGTTGCTCATGGAGGCAGTAGGGTTGTGATACAGTGTGGTCTAAAGTTGCCCACTGGATGCCCTGGCTCTGGGGCATCCTGGGATGTGCAAAGTCACCCTGCCTGGGGCCACTTGGCACAGCTATAGAGTGATCTACAGATGCCTGCTAATTGTGGTGGGCTTGAAGTTGCCCAGGAGAGGCTAATCTGTGAACCAAGGCTGACTGCCACTAGTGTCAGACCTGGAGCCACTTAGCAAGAGGTACAGAGTATGCAGAGGCTAGATGCTGCTCGTTTGAGAGATTTTAGGAACATTTGAAGAATGATCCAAGACAGGCCAATTGTATGGAAAAGCCACTGGAAACTGCTTAGATGAGCACAAAATAGGTTGGGGCAGGTCTCAGGGAATCACCAGGGTGGGGCAAACAGTGTGATCCAGGTTGATAATGACTCAGATATGGCACCTGCTTGTCGGCTCTTTGGGGGAGAGGGCTCAACAAAGGAACAGTGGCATGTGCCAGCACTTTTGTCTGTCAGAAAGCTGCCCCCTTTCAGCTTTACTCTAATAACTAAACAATTGAGTACCTCCCTTTATGTCCCTGGTTCCTTTCAAGCTGCTGCCCCAACACTGGAATTTGAGTAAGTCCTCACATGGGCCCTTTAAGAGGAACAGCCTCTGTGTCACTCAGCCACAATAACCCACTAGTTTTTATAGCCTAAAGTTATGGGGACTTCTTTTCCTGTCACTGAAACCCTGGGCTGGGGCGTCTGGTATGGGGCTGGGACCCCTTGCTCTTCAAGGGGGGTGGGGGGCTCCACAGCCAAGATATCCCTCTCAATTATTAATTGC